ACACACACACACACACACACACACACACACACACACACACACCTCGGTGGTTCAGACTGTCAATGCCCCCAGAAGACTGAGTGTAGTTCACCGAAGCTCTGACTGTCAATGCCCCCAGAAGACTGAGTGTAGTTCACCGAAGCTCTGACTGTCAATGCCCCCAGAAGACTGAGTGTAGTTCACCGAAGCTCTGAGTGTAATTTTGAGTCCGGGGCAGGGAGAGAGACCTAGCAGTTTCTGTGTTCCTCTTCAACAAATCTAATGTTTAGTGCTCGATTATTCATTTCAGCAGTCAGGTTATGTTGGCACAGGTTGGTGGGAAATGAGGAACAGTAGCAATTAGTTGAGAATTTTTACAAGTCAATGATGTATTCCTAGCATATTTTGACAACCGAAACAGTGGTTAAATGATGACATGCAAAATGATACCTTCTGCCAAAAGAACTCCTCAGACTTATTTCAACAGCATAAGGCATGCTGAAATTTGAGAACATTGATAATTCAAGTCTGAGAATTTCACAAGGCTGGTTTGTCATCTTGTGCGATGAGATTTGTTCCACCCTCCGTGCATTGATCAGCTACACTCATCTCTGTTGGATTTGAGATCCCAGGGAAACCTCCTTTTTCTTCTCATTTCTACATATTTGGGGTCCATTCCCAAAAAGTGTGGCTGTGTCCCAAACTCCTAGACTCAGCTGATGTTTAATCGTATTCTGTCTCCTGATCATTGTGCACACCGAATCATACTGTGAAGAAGAGGCCCTTCGGCCCATTGAGCCTGTACCACCAAAAATACATTACTACCTACACTAGTTCCACTTTCCCACAGCAGACCCATAGTCTTGAATGTTATGACACTTCATGAGCTTATCCAAGTACATGTTAAAGATTTCCTGCCTCAACTACCCTCCCAGGCAATGCATTCCATCACCAGCGTCTGGATGAAAGACTTTTTCCTCAATTTTCCACGAAACCTCCTGCCTTTCACTTTAAAATTATGTTCTCTTGTCATTGTCCCTTCAACTAAGGAGAACAGCTGCTTTCTATTCGCTCTATCTATGCCCCTCATAATCTTATACACCTCTATCAGGTCTCTCTGCCTCAACCTTCTCTGCTCCAAAGAAAATATCCCAAGCTTACCCAGCCTCTCTTCATAGCTGAAATGCTCAATCCCAGGCAACATCCTGGTGAATCTCCTCTGTACCCCCTCCAGTGCAATCACATCCTTCCTGTAGTGCAGTGGCCAGAAATGCACACAGTACTCCATTTGTGGCCTAACCAAAGTTCTGTACAGCTCCAACATGACCTCATTGTTCTTATAATCTATGCCACGACTGATAAAGGCAAGCATTCAGTAGGGCTTCCTAACTATCCTATTAACCTGCCCTGCCACCTTCAGGGATCTATGGTTAAACACTCACAAGCAGTCCTCAATTAGCTGTGATAGCCATCTACCTTTTTAACTCATCATTTTGCATGACCCAATGGAGCCACCAATCTCTTGCCTGTTCTGAAGAGGAGACATATCAGACTTGAAACGTTAACTCTGTTTCTCTCTCCACTGATACTGCCAGACCTGAGTTTCTCTCACATCTCCTGTGGTTGTTTCAGATTTGCAGCATCCACAGTACTTTCCTTTTATTTTCTTGCCTCCTTTGGATTCTATTTCTACAACAATTGAATCCTGCACTCTCTCACTTGCATTGAGTTTTAGTTAGATGGTTGTCTATTACCTGCTAACTCATTGCATTAAATTTGCTCATTTCTGATAGTTCTTGACAACTGAATGAACCACCAAATGGAAATGAGGCATTTTGGCTCAAAAAAATTGGATCTTTTCTGTAGGTCAGTGTAAGAATCACATTGATTGTAGCTATGAAAATTCCATTACCCACAACATCCTACCGTCTCAACTGCTGAAGAACTCATAAGAATTTGTAGGAAGTTTGGGAATCAATATAAACGTGGGAAAATGTTTGATGTTGAAGCTGTATCATTTAATGTTTTGAGTTGGCACCTGAAATAACTCCACAGAGGCCCAAGTCACCCTTTATTTAAACACGAACAGTCCTTGACTTAGGACTGCCACATTCAGAGTCAACTACCAGAGTATCAGCATCTCTGACACTCCCCTTTTTATCTGTCAGCCAGGGCTCCCTGATTGAACCAGATTAACAGCCCCAATCAGAGAGCTGATATTCTATGAAGTCCAGCTGACTGATTTCATGTCAGTCACTACAGTACCAAACTGATTTTACAAAAGCGCATCACCCTTTCATACTTGCTTCACGTATCTCATTTACACAGTGCCAGCTGTGACTCAGTTGGTAGCATTTTGTCTCTGCTTCAGGGTCACACTTCAGGGATTTGAAACTAAGGCTCCCAGTGACATACTGAGGGAGCACTGCCCTGCACATTGTGTGCCTTCTTAAAGATCTGATGTTAAACAGAGGCCCTGTCTCCCTGCAGAAGTGATGTTAAAAAAGACTACAGACCAAGTGCTGGAAGTGGGATTTGACTGAGTGGCTCATTTTGTGACTGGCACAGACAAGATGGGCCGACTGGCTTTTTTTTCTGTGTTGTAAACTATCTTTGATTCTAAGAACAGGATTGTTTTCCCTTGCCAGTGCTAGATTTAATCATTAACCAACATTATGAAAATAGTTGAGAAGAAGAGTCATTCCAACTTGAAATGTTACTCTGGCTCTCCCTTCACAAATGCTACCAGACTTAGTTGAGTCTTTCCAGCATTTCATTTAATATTTACATCTGCAGTATTTTGCTTTTATTTCACTAAAATAGACAATCTGTTTATGGGTTGACAAGGCATAGAGCTGGATGAACACAGCAGGCCAAGCAGCATCAGAGGAGCAGGAAAGCTGACGTTTCCGGCCTAGACCT